TCTGAGAAAACCCAGGATCATACCGATTTCAATTTTATTTTTTAAAAAAACCTTTTAAGCATTGATATTTTATCAACAAGAGAAACATAAATTTTTCAGCCACTCAGACATTTGATATTAGTTATTTTAGTATTAGCTTGATATAATGAAATGTATTTAGTGATTAAAACATTGACTCTAACTAAAACAGACATTATCAATTACTTCAATTAACCTGTCAGCCATAAATACTTTATTTACAGATTATCTCTACAAATTATATTGAATTTAGCTCATGCTTTCTTTTTTTTTGTTCTGTTGTTCAGGGTGGTATAATATTTGTTCTCTGTTTTCTATCATTCACTTGTTACAGTAAGAATGTATAAAAACATTTCAATTCAATATTTCTAAAAATATAAAAAATTGTATGCATGCAGAGATGAAGCCTATTTTCCATATATTTCTTAATATAATAGAGTTTTGTTTTGTTTTTCTTAGATGTAAACACTGCTTTTCTCTCTATATTCCAATATTCCATGTAATAGTAGATAGTGAGGATTCATTTTTGCTTAATATATTTTTGAACATCAGCATAAAGAGATGAAACACAGCTGGCAAAAAAGAAATGGTTAATTCCTTTCTTGTTATTTTCCCAGCAATAAGCAAGTGGGTTCTTTCCTTTCAACCATGCTTTCTAATTACTGATTTGAATGGGTCTGCAGATTAAAAATAAAGTTCTTAATTGAGTATAAATGAGTTTGGAAAATATCCAACTGGCAAAGCTTTTCTCTTCAAACATCTTTTAGAACCAAGATGTTTCCTAATTGTAACATACTACATTTTTAAAAATCTTATAAGTTCATATCTTCTGGGAAAAAGCACTGAGGTTTTACTTTCTGTGGCTTGGGAGTTAAAGCAGGATGTACAAATATATTAAAATACTCTCAGAACAGGTTTTTATCAAGTTAACTACTTCATTTCTTGAAGACTCTTGAGAAAGTTCACACCCACATGACAACAGCTGCCAGAAGTTTAAATTCTTAAATACATTTAAGAAAGGTAATCATAATACTTTACACAGCTCTAGGCAATGTGTGTACAATTTGTAGAGACATAATAACATCTGACTCAGTTCCAACCACAACCTCCATACCCATGTACAGCTACTCATTGTTGGTCATCACTCATCTCTGCTTGGAGGGGAGCAGGTAACTCATTCTTTCCATGCTTCTTGGATCTTGAGCTCATATGACTTGCAACAGTGGTATTCACCAGGAGACTTCTGTTAAAAAGCATTACTGAAAAGACTCTCATTAGACACATTTTAGAATTCATTTTCATACTCATGTATGAAAAACAGTGATATGAGTAATATATACAAAGGCAAATAAATACTTCTCTGGTGGAATAGATATGTGTGTTCTTTATATGTGATTAATTTATGAATATTGCATACCATTGGCAAACTTAGATAATTTCAGATAGGCTCTACTAATAAAACTGAAAAGCAATACAATTTCCTAAAGGTTGGAGTTGGTGTCTCACTACTCTTACGCCAAATTTACCACAGCCACCATCACCAAAAAAAAAAAAAATTCCAGAAATGTAACTGTGCCTTTGTGGCATAATGCCAGCTTTGATTAAAAAAGAAAAAAACTTTGTTGGGGGGAGGTTGGTTTGGGAAGGGGAGACAGTGGACAGAAGGGAAGGGAAGGGAAGGGGAAACAAAGGAAGAGGCAATGCTTGATAAGAAATGTACTCATTACCTTGCCCATGTAATTGTAACCTCTCTGTATGGTATTTTCACAATCAAAAAATGTATTAATAATAAAAAATGAAAATTTGTCTACTAATTGTTTTCACTTGGCAGTGGTTTGTCAGTCAAGTATTTCTAAAGAACTTAAGTGATTAGAGTCCTTTGTCCTATTTCAGGTAAATCCGTTCTGTCAAAATTTTGTCCATTAGCTTTCTAAGAGACAGTATGTCAGAGGCAAAATGACCTGAGCTCTTGAAGAAAAACCTCATCAAGCCTTATTTAAATATTCTTCTGAGCTTAGCCACAAAATCTGAGTCATAAATACTATCATGCTGCCTCCACAGATATTGCATACAAACACTTCTTATAATTAATTGAACAGTTTGCAAAGCTCAAATCAGTTGACAGAGATCTTCTGAGACTTTCTTGTTTCCCTATTCCTATTTCTGTAAACATATTAGCATATTGTGACATTAAAAGCTATTGCTAATAATAAATTAGGACTTAATTATAAAAGATGTTCCAGTGAAATTTAAGGAAAATGAAAGAGAAATGTGTTTAAGATCTTACCATTTTGGCATGGCTGTCAGCAGTCATACAGATAAAAATTAATATTAAGTTGTAACTCAGCAATAGACTTGAAAATCATGTATACCATTATCATTATTATTTTGTTGTCTCTCAAAGGGGCATCAGACATCTGGTTTCAAAGATAATGGCAGTAACAATTATTTGCATCATAGCCCTAGCTAACTAGATAGCTGAAAACATCTGCTACAATCTGCAGTTTCTTTAACCTGTCCCTAGAGAGACTTTGATAGCTCAAATATCCTTTTTTAAGCCATTTCCCTCTACAATAATGATTTTTTGCAAAATACAAATTACTTTTACTTTAAGGAAATTAAGTCTAATGCTGTCTTTCTCTTTCAGAATTTAAATCTCAAGGCAAAGGTACTAAGAAGTAGCAGAGGTTCTAAAAAGTATTATAAGATTTTCTAAAAAAAATATTTTAGTGGAGATGAACTTTTTACGTTATGTTACATTGAATTTTCCTTTAACACTATGGTCAATTGTTTTCCTGATATAATAAATATTGAAACCACAGGAACTGATACTTGAACTAACACCTCAGTGATTGGCTTGACAACAATATTCTATGGAATCTCACACTCAACTTTAAAAAATTACATTTTGTTAATTAATCAATGTTTGTTAGGAAGTATTGGTGATATTATCATATATTAGCAGTATACTGGACTCCAAGCACTTCAGTAAATGTATAAGTATGTCATATAGCCTTTTCTGACACCTAAAATCTAAGTTTATAATAGTTTAACTCATTTAGAAGTGAGACAAAATTTGAGTTCTAATTTATGGAAAGATAAGAGTCGAGGCACAGGAAGTCAGAATAAGATTTCATTCAGCCATGGTCATCACACTTCATAAGAACAAGTCAGTAGGATCTCATCATTGTTAGTCCTTCCATATTTTTAACTGGATGAACAAATTAATTTTGACTAAATGAATGAAATAGGGAATCCTTTAAAATGGAAAAAGTTATTTGTATATATATTATGTATGCATATTTATTACATATCATTTGTATATAGTTCATATGTACTTTATATATAATATGTAAATAAACTATATGTATATTATTTCAAGAAATAAGAAAGGAAAAGCATAGCAGCCTTATATACTTTTTATGATATGAAATTGGAATTCGAATGAGAAGTATGTAAAGAACATACAGCAAGTAAGTCCTTGAAGGCAGGATAAAAGCATAAAGAAAAATACTTCACCAGGTACAAGTTTTGTTTTGCTTTGCTTTTTCTTGTAGGTCTTAGGCTTAATCTCAGGGTCTCGGTGCTTTTCCTGAACTTTTTCAGTTCAAGACTATCACTCTATCATTTTAAGCCAGATCACTTCTTCCAGTTTTCAAGTGGCTAACCATGAGGGGATACAGGGGCAACGAAAATTAGAAAAGGCAGAGGTAGAGAGATAAGTGATAAAAATCAGTGGGGATCAGGAGTTCTAAGTTTCTCTGGCACTTGGATTCTAGGTTCCCACAAGCAAGAATATTTATGTGAGTTCACACAGGGAAGGTTATCATGGATACATGCAAAATATAATGCATTTATATTAATACATAGACCATCTATATTAATACTACAGTCAGAGTTTTATTTTTTTGAGACAGGAGACTGCAGGCCAGGGACAATCCAGACATGATGTCCATTTATCTGGCTCAAAGTTCAGCTGTGAAGGTATTTTTGTCCAGCTTCCAAGTTCCCCAGGATAGCTGCCAGCCTAAAAAATAGGTGTCAATCCAGCGTCTCAACCCTCTCCAGAGCTGCCTGTACTAACCCTTTGATGGCCAGCATTCCGAGTTCTGTCAAGGCAGTGTTCTAAACTCTCAAATCTTTTCCAGGTTCACAGCTCAGCTTTAGTGTTCTCTTCAGGCAATTGTATATAAGAGTCTAGGTAGTGGCCCAGTTTTCAGGTGGTTAATTGAAGATGAGAGTCTCATGGACTTTCCTGTCCATGCTGGCTTTGAATCATGAGCTTCAGATCTCAGCCTCCTTGATTAGGTAGGATTACAAGAGTGAGCCACCAGCACCTAGCTACAAGTTTTTTTTTCAATAATTTTACTATTATTATTAAGTTGATGTACAAATGGATAACCATTTTACAACTCAGGAAATGTGAACATTTCTCTTTCTGTGAACATTTTGACCCCTTCCTTTGCTTTCCTCAGGTTCCCCTTTCAACTCTCCCCTCAAGTAGCATAGCTCATTTTCCACTTAGTTTATATTGAATACTGTGATTGCGTTTGTTTACCCTTTGTTCCTTCCTATAACCCCTTTGTCATCCCCCAACAGAGCAGAAAATTTAAAAACAAATAGCACAGATAAACACCATCACTAACAGCAACGTAACGTATTTTTCATTTCCTAGAATTTATGTCAATAAACAGAACTTTAAATTTTCAAGAGAGTTATTCCTTTGGGTTCCACATCTGCTGGTATCCTCTTTTGGTGGGACTGCTTGTGCGTGAATGCCTAGAGTCATGTTTAGCTTATCATGTCCAGTTATATTTTAGATCTGGGATCTGGCTTCCACATATGTCGACACAAGGCTTTGTTTTTGGTGGTTGTTGTTTTGTTTGTGTTTTTCTTTACATTATCTCTATTCTCAGAGCCAGTCTATGTCACTTAACAACCCCCCCCCCACACACACACACATTGCCAGCTATGGTAGGAATCATATTCCTTCTTATATATACCAGAATCTCATACGCAACAATAAGTTTTGGGTTTTGAAAGAGGACTGTTTTCACCTCTCTAAAGCTTTGTTACAAAATAAACAAATACATACACATAAGTGTTATAAGATACACATTGTATGTGGCATTGAAAGAAAAAAGTATGTCATGCTCACATGAGGATTATAAACATTGTAGAAATATGTAACTGAGGGGTTGAAGAATTTAAAGCCTGTCTTAATTTATTGTTTTAATTTTTGTCAGTCACGAGGCTGGAATTCTGTGCCTGGGCACTGCCCCTCAGCTCTTCAGCTCAAGCCTAGAACTCTACCACTTGAGCCACAGTACCATTTCCAGCTTTTTCTATTTATGTGGTGCTGAAGAATTGAGCCCAAGGCCTCATGCATGTAAGGAGCACTCTACCACTGAGTCATCTTCCCAGCCCAATGTCTTGATTTTTAAAGCATGTGAGTCAAGACACAACAAGCCAGATGTAATGACTCACATTTATAATTCTAGATCTTAAGAATATGGACATAATATCAGTTCTCAAAGCTATCCAAGTCAAAACGTAGCAAGACTTTGTTTGAATAAATTTGAGGAACAGTGGTGCCTGCAATCATCCCTGCTACTATGGAAACATAGATAGGAAGCTGGAAGTCGGAAGCCATATTCAGCAAAAACTGAACATTATCTAAAGAAAAAAAAATCCCAAAGCAAAAAGGCTGATTGCTTGGTTCAAATAGTATTACACTTGATCAATAACCACAATACACTAAGTTGAACCCTCAGTTTGACTAGATATATGCATATATTCCAGGAAAGACACAAGAAAAACTGAGCCAAATATGAAGCAACAGGAGCATGAAAACTAACTTGATATTACAGATAAAGCATCAAAATGTGTTTTAATGTATTTATAAATGATTTTCTTTATAACAAAGTTTTGAGTCTTAATTTTAACACGTGCAAATATGCATTTATTTAATTAATTTAAAGAATATCCTTATATTTTATTCTTCCAGCCATATCAATATTTTTTACAAAATATTTTATTATCTTTAAGTAGTTGTAAAAAGGAGTTTTCATGCAAAAAAAAGCAGTTTATGTCCTATTTAAACCATTTCAACATTTTTACCCATCATATCAATATCTTGGCTAATTTTTTTTCTTTTCTTGCTGTTTCTATGGCTTGTACACACAGCCTGGGTACTGCCCCTAAACTTTCTTTATATATATATATATATATATATATATATATATATATATATATATATATATATATATATATATGTATGTAAATATATTATTGTGAAAATACTCTACAGAGGGGTTACAATTACATGGGCAAGATAGTGAGTACATTTTTTATCAAGCATTGTGGCCTCCTCCTTTGTTTACCCTTCCCATCCTGCCCCTAAACTTTCTTAACAAAGGTAGCACTCTATTGCTTGAGCCACACCTCCTTTCTAGTTTTTTTTAGTAGATTATTGGATATTAGTCTCTGCCAGGGTTGGCTTAAAGTGAACTTCGATCCTCAGTCTCAGCATCTTGAGTAGCTAAGATTACAGGCATGAGCCACTAGTTTCTAATTTCTTAACCAACTTTTTTTTTGTCTTGTACCTTTCATTGTTACAATGAGTAAACCTATATCTTTATTTCAGCATTTTGTTATGTCCCTTCCCCTCCTCAAATTAGAAAAAATGTATGTACAAGATGTAGGGCACCGACATGAAATACAGTGAAAGCAGGGCTTATACCATGGGGAAAGAACATACAAAAGCAACAAAAATAAATCACATTCTTAACTTTTTTAAATTTTCAATGCTGTGAGATTTTGATATAAAATTCATTCTTTTTATAAATGTTCTTCAGATTCAACTTGCTTAGAGTCAAGGTTAGTGTAATTGAACTCAGGAGAATATTTAAGTAAAAGAAAATAGAGGAAGGAGAAACAGGAGAAACATGCTTTTCCAATTATTCTGAAGACTTCTCTATGTTTCTCTCTGCCTCCCTTTCCCTCCCTTTCCTCTTCTCCCTCTCTATTTCCCCCTCACCCCCCTCCTTCTTTTCCCAACTTTCTGTGTATAACTAGATCTCTCAAACAACCATTTTCAGAAATGGAGTTATAATAACATACTGACTGGGCAAATAAACACTTGAGTTTCTTGTCAGTATTTGCTAACTAACTAGACTTTTGGAAGTTACAACCAAACACTTGCCTATAATTTAGGCTGTCAGTTGAAGCAATGGTTTATAGTTGATCAGACATATGAGATTTTTGAGGAACCTCAAAACAAAAGCAAAAAATGTCTTCATGAAAAATAATTGTGTATAACTAATACACTTCCATAGGAAACTTTGGCTTTAAAACTACAAAAATACATCCTATGGTGTTGATTTCTTTCAATAAAATTTAAATTTCTCATAAAATTCCTTATCAGTTGTTTTAATAAAAAGTTACACATGAAATATATCCAATAATAATCAATCCAAAATGTCTTTTCTATTGAAGTGACATCATTATTGTTCTTTATATCCTCCTATAATTATCTCTAATAAATCATTTCCTTTTCCTCTCAAAGATTATGGTAGTAAATAGAATCATGCAATCATGAAAAAGACTGTTCCTCCCAAGTAAGAACTAAAGACAATCTTACATAATACTAATACAATATAATCTCCTACTTAACATATATGGTAACTCAAATATAAATAGATGAAATGCTTTTCCAAGGTCACATACTAATTATCATTCTAGTTGTGTATAGACTAATCTCTCTCTCTCTCTCTCCCTCTCAGTAACTAATGGCTCACACCTCTAATTCTATCTTCTCAGGAGGCTGGAAAGCAGAATAGAGATTCAACACCAGTCCTAGCAGAAAAGACCATGAGACTGCTAATTTCAATTAATCACCAGAAAACTGAAAGTTGTGCTTTGGCCCAAACTGGTATAATGTTAGCCTTGAGCAAAAGAGCTCAAGGATGGAACCCAGTCCCAGAGTTCAAGCCCCTGAACAGAGAGAAAGAAAGAAAGAAAGAAAGAAAGAGAAAGAAAGAAAAAGAAAGGAAGGAAGGATGGAAGGAAGGAAGGAGAAAGAAAGAAAGAAAAAAAAGAAAGAAAGAAAGGAAAGATAAGAAAAGAAAGATAAGAAACAGAAAAGGCCAATATCAAGAATATTTTTTAGAAAATGTTGCTGAGGATGTAGACAAAGGTAACCCTAACATACACTGCTGCTATGAATGTAAACTTGTTCAACCACTCCGGAAAGCATTAAGGAAATTCCTCAAAAATCTAAGTATACAACTAACCTATGAACCAACAATTGCACTCCAAAAGACTACTAAACAAAGTACAGTAAAACCACCAGCCCAACCATGTTAATTGCAGTTTTATTCACCATAGTCCATATATAGAATCATTCCAGATGCCTCCAATGGAAAATTGGATCCAGAAAATATGTTCTATATTGATATCCATGTCTCTGTCTGTCTCAGTCTGTCTGTTTGTCTCTGTCTCTGTCTGTGCATCTGTCTCCCTCTCTCTCTCTCTCTCTCTCTCTCTCTCTCTCTCTCTCTCTCTCTCTATATATATATATATATATATATATATATATATATATCCTCATCCATTGCTAAGCAATGAGAAAATCTGAAAAATTATGTTGTGAAGTAATCCAGGATCAGGGAGATAAAGGGTGCATGCTTTTCTTCATATGTGGAAGCTAGAATTGGTGTATAAACTTGTAAGTAAATATGTCTGGTGTTATGCAATTGTGTACATAGGTCATAGCTGAAATATATGATAAGTTCAAGGGAGAATTCAAATGTAATTCATTATAAAGGCAAAGTCAAAGTTTAAAAAAGGCATAAAAATGGGTACTTTAATGGGGTGGGGTGGGGGTCAAGGGGAGAGAGATTGACCAATGAAGAGGAAACGAGTGGAGAATATAGTCAAGAATTCAATGTATATCCTATATTAAGAAAAGAAAGGGAAGAGGTGAATTGAGAGGAATGGCTGAGGATGTTGAAAGAGATGAGGTCCATCAGGATGCATTGCACACATAAACTGCTTTGTTACAATGCAACTCTTTGTACAGCTACCTAAGATAATAAAAAAGTAACAATAAAGGTAAGTAAAACAAATTAGAAATTAGTCATTCTCAAATTACCTGATACAACTTTAGTGGGGAAGGATAAACCATAAATTCATCTGATTTTCTTTACATTAATACATTTGTTACTCAACGCTGATTTTCTACTTTATGGTATATATGAATGGCAGATACAATGCCGTATTCCACTATTAAAACAATGATGTCTTCTAGACACTGATAGCTCATGCCTGTAATCTAGATACTCAGATGGCTGAGATCAGGAGAATCAAGATCCCGAATCCAGCCTACACAGAAAAATCCATGAGATTCCATTTCCAAAATGATTAGCCAAAGGGCCAAGCTGAAGCATAGCTCAAGTGATAGAGTACCAGCTAGGCTAATAAGACCAGAAGGAGATCATAAATTCACTCATAAGTAAAGTGAGAGAGATTGAGAGTGAGATAGAGATTACATCATCAAATTTTACTAATGTCATGATAAGTAAAAGTCCTAAATTTATTAGTCAATAGATTTATAATTGCTAATTCTTAAAATATAACAAATAATGACCTAACTAGAACTTTCTTTGGGAAAGTGAGAAAATTATGACAGAAAATAGGAATATTGCATGCATTTTCATACAGCTGTTGAGCACTGCATTTGGTCCATGATTTCTACTCTACAGATCATCCAACACTGAAGAAAACTTTTTGAAGATACTCTCTGAAGTCATATTTTACACAGAAAAATGAAGAGAAATTGGGTAGGAGTATACAAGCTGATTTCTAATGTATATATTCCAACACTGAAAACATTCACCATGGTGCTGCAACTTCTACTTTATGCAATCCAAAAATATCTATATTAATATGAAAATTAGTTTAATGATCTTTAATTTATAATACCTAGATATTTAATTTTTCTGCATTAAAATTATGAATCAAGAATAAAGTATTGGCTCTGCCTTTTATTCTTGCATCAATCTACATTTTAAAATACACTCATAAATGAAATATGCTTCACTAGC